TGCGTTCAAGGTGACTAGTGGGTAGTGGGATGGGGGTGAGGGGGTGGGCCAGGGCCTGCTGCCTGGGGCAGAACAGACCAGGAGCAGCAGATAGCCAAATGAAAGACAGAAATGCTCTTCCTTACCAAGGGGTTCAAGGGGTGTGTGTGGGGAGGGACATTGTAGGTCATCTGTTGTGTTTGGCCCAATTAGACTCCAGAGAGTGTATTTCACTTCTGTAGGTCCCTGAAGTGAATTTAGCTCCTGACTTCAGAATGAGCTGGTCAGACGAAAGTGTAGGTCACCACCGTCCGTGCTGTTGAAGTTCTAGGCTCTCTCTTACTGTGGCATCTGAGATGACAGCCTGAGCAAGATCCAGTAGGTAAGAAGGATTTGTCAGTACTCTTAGACGACAAGTGGCAGACACCCAACTCAGGCTAGGAGGAGTGTGTCTCGGCTCAGGTGACCCCTGAATCCTGTGCCAAAAGGGTGTGGCCCCTGCAGGGCCTCCTTGGTTCCTTCTCTCCAGCCAGCTCCCTGCATAGGGTTAGGGCAGCTGCCAGGCTCACATTTCCCCATTTCTCCACCGGAGAGGAAGGTCTTTCCTTCCTTCTCTCCCTCACCCCATCCCCCTTCTATTCCCTTCCCTACCCCTTGCTTTTCTTCCCTCTTTTCTACCTCCCCTTTGTCCTCCCTCCTACTGAAAATCCCAGGGGGAGTCTCCCACTAGCCTTGCTAAAGCCTGAGGCTGATTATTAGCTATGTGCAGGGCAGCTTTTTCTCTAGAAAGATGAGCACAGTGGTATGTCTAGATGGTACTATTGACATCTCTCAGGGAACAGCTGGGATCAGAATATAGCCTGGTTGGAGGGCCAGTTTTTCTAAAGGAAGTGGGGTGCAGTTATCAGAAGAAGTCTGGGCACTGAGGATTGTAGGTCCACTGCAACATGGAAGGTAACGCTGTTATGTCAGAGGAAATGAAGAGCCTGCCTTCACGTGAGCAGATGCCCCCTCTCTATTGGACCAGAGATGAAAACATGCGTTTTGGTGCAAAAGGTGGTTTTATGAAAGCATGGGGATGGGACACATGGGCAGAAAGAGCTGCTGAAACATGATTCTTTGAATGCGTGATGTTCAGGCAATGTCCAAACATGGCAGTTGGTGCAGCAGAAATAATTTTGCACTCTCCAGCTACCATCTACTCTTGCTGCAAGGCCATCAGAATTCATGGAATTGGTTATTAACCTATTCTCCCCTTATTTTGAAAAGTATCTGAGGCAGTGGATATATGGGTAAAGAAATTCAGCAGGCCAGACAGAGCCATTGTGATTACTGTAATGACATTTTCAACATTCCAGAATGTGGAGTGTCCGAGTCGTCCTCATTTTGAAACTGAGTCAAAGAACCAGTGAAGTAGGCGGTAACCCAATATTTGACAAGTAAGTTTTTTTAGGGTAAAAACATGAATTAAATACAACCGTAACTGGAACCTACTTCCTCTGAGGACAGTTTTCACTAAGTTTGCAGATAGTCATCCTTTTCACTGTTTGCATTTGGTATCTTAAAAGACCTCTTCATTGGGGCATGAGTATATTTCATAAAATTTACCAGCTTTAGCTCACAGTTAGTAAGTTTTAGAAATTTATGGTTGTATAGTCATCACCACAATCCAGTTTTAAACCATTTCCCTCCTCCCAAAGAGATCCCTCATGCCCATTTGCAATCTCGGTTACCACTTCCAGTCCTAGACAACCACTAATCTACTTTGTCTCTATAAAGTTGCCTTTTTTAGACATGTCCTACAAATGGAATCTTAACAACATGTGATCTTTTATGTCTGACCTTCCCTTAGCACAACGGTTTTGAGTTTCATCTATGTTGCAACGTGTACTGTGTACTGACACTTCATTCCTTTTTAGTACTGGATACTGTTCCATACTGTTGGAATGTCACATTTTGTTTACCTAACTGATGGCTATTTCGCTAGTTCCCACTTTTTTGCAAGTATGAAATACTGCTGCTATCATTTGTGTACAAATCTTTGTGTGGACATATGTTTTCATTTCTCTTGGCGAGATCAGTCAGAGTGGAATTGCTAGGTTGTATGATAAATTTATATTTAACTTTGTAAGAAACTGCCAAACTGCTTTCCACAGTGACTTTTTGCTTTCCACGTTTTATGTTTTCACCAGTAATGTTTGAGGACTGGACCCGTAGTTTTAAACTTGATTGGTTCTTTTGGGTTTCAGGATGGGTGAAGCCTAAGGAATGGACCGGGAAGAAGAAGCCAAGGGACAAAGCACACGTGCCTTGACACTTGAAGCTGATTATTAGCTATGTGCAGGGCAGCTTTTTCTCTAGAAAGATGAGCACAGTGGTATGTCTAGATGGTACTGTTGACATGAACATCAAAGATTTAGGAATGTAGAATAGGAAGGGCATTTTAGAGAACTAAAAATCTTTTTAAAACTCTTTAAGAAGATTTTACTTATTTATTTGAGAGAGCATGAGTGCGGAAGAGGGGAGGGAGAAGCAGGCTCCCCACTGAGCAAGGAGCCTGATTGGGGGGGGGGGGCTCAACCCCAGGACCCTGGGATCATGACCTGAGCTGAAGGCAGATGTTTAACCGACTGAGCCACCCAGGCACCCTAGAGATCTAAAAATAATCTTACCATGAGGGATAATCACATGGAGTTTCTTAGTCCTAGAATGATTTTTGTATTCCAGAAGTAGTTTGTCTTGATTAAGCCCGTGCTTTTTAAATTGGATGGATTTAGGGCATGAGGTAACCTTGGGGCTTTTCTTTGGTAGGCTTATTGGAGCATGTGAGTAGCCGATTTGACAAACCAGACAGTAATGTTAGCAGAGCCCTGGCCAATTTTGTATCAGTGCTGCTGGCCCTGGCTGATTCATGCACCTAGATCAGTTCTGGTGGATGGTAGGTTTTATTTTTAAAGAATGATTTATTTGTTTCTCAAGAGAAATGTCATCCTCTGGATAAAGGCAAGTTGTGAATATATTGAGGGAGATTAATGCTCTCAGGAGAGTTTTGCCACATGACTATTATGATATAGTATGTGAATGACATTTACAGTTGAAAAAGAATGTGGTCATTTATTTTCTTGGGGGAAAAAAGTGAGATATTAGAATATTTTAGAAAGGATTCACTGCCAAAATGAAACTCTTGCTTATGCCTTTTTTCCCCCCTAAACTTTTCCCTTTCTTTCATCTCAGTAATCTTTTAACAAGCCTACACCTTACTTCATAAGAAAAGGGCATATGTGGAAGCACCCAGCCATAATTAATGCCTAGTAAAATTTGCTTGTTTATGCATTCATTTATTTATTCCTATATATTTGGCTTGCTGAATAAAGCCTCCTAAAATGTAATCAGAGCAGCTTTCTTTAATGCCCCACGCTAAATTTTATTCATTGAGGTTAGTATGTCCCCTGCCTCTAGATAAAATCTAAGACTAAAGTTAAAAAAAATTCTGCAGTTTCAATCGCTAAATCCCCCTTTTTGTTGTTGTTGAGGTGTAATTGATGTACATCGTAGTAACAATTGATCGATATTTGTTTACCTTGCAAAATGGTCACAACTCTAAGTCTAGTTAGCATCCATCACCATGCATAGTTACAGGATGTTTTTTTTCTTGTGATGAGAACTTTTAAGATCTACTTTCTTAGCGACTTTGGGGTACACAGTACAGCATCATTAACTAGAGTCACCGTGCTGTACCTTACATCCTCACCACTTCTTTTGGAACTGGAAAGTTTGACCTTTTGATCACCTTCACTCCTGCTAATACTCTTAATTTAGAACTTAGGATGCCCAATTTAAATAAAAATACAAAGTCCTAGTATGTTTTTAAAAGAAAAGATCTCAGGAGGCCTGGGTGGCGCAGGGGTGGAGCGTCTGTCTTTGACTCAGGGCATGATCCCAGGGTTGCGGGATCAAGTCCCCCATTGGGCTCCCCTCAAGGAGCCTGCTTCTCCCTCCGCCTGTGTCTCTGCCTCTCTCTCTGTTCTCTCATGAGTAAATAAAATCTTTAAATAAATGAGTGAGTGAGTAAGACTCTCCCTCTTTCCTCACTTTGCCCTGGGATCCTGCTGCCTCATCTAGCTGTTGGGGCTGGTGCTCCTGCCAGGGCTGCAGTGATAAAGTTGGGGGTGGAGTTGTCAGGAGGGAGGGGGGTCCTCCCCAGTCTCCACGCACTCTGACACTATTAGACTCTCAATGTGAGCAAGAGGTTCACTGTTACCAATTTTGAGCTAAATCCTTTGAAAATCTACATCTCCCATTGGCACTTTGGAGTGAAGTATCTTTGTATCTTTTGTGTCTTCAATTTAGCGCTGAGTACACATACACCCGCTCTCCGTTCATTTGCTCAGCCAGAGGGGACTTTTGAGTATTGACTATGGCAAGGCTTGGCCGACCTTGGAGTTGAAGGGTTGGATGGGTTGAGGATGGATTTTTTTCCTTATTGAATGGTTCCTTGACTACAAGTGGTAGAAGCTCATAACGTTGATTTGGGGGGAATCCTTGGCCCGCCCCTGGAGCTCCCCTGTCAGGCTGGCTATCCTGAGAACTTGCCCCGGGGTTCTATCTGACGGTCCTCGTTCTCTTGAGACTCTTAGATTCCGTTATTCAGAACGGGTGGTTCTCTTGGCCTAGCTCAGCCTGTGGTTGTGGAGCTGCTGCCTGAGAGTAGAGCCCAGAGAAGAGGGCAGGCCGGACGCTTTAAAAAAGGGACAAGCTGGTAAGACTCCATTGACCAAATGGGGTTGTTTTTTGTCCTTCCGTCCTCCTTCCCCCCTCCCCAGCTTTCCCCCTTCCTCCTCCCCTCCTTGTTAAGTGCTTTCATGTGTACGTGGTGAAATCTAATCATCCTGCCTTTACTCACATCCCAGTGCAGCTAACCCAGTGCATTTAGGACCAGAGAGGGCTTTGCTGAGGTCAAAGGTGAAGTAATGGTTATTCAGGCTCCTAACCCATATCTTTGTTCTACACTTTCATTCTAGAAACATTCATTGATTGTATGCTGTTGGCCAGTGACTGAGTATAAGCAAAATGAAAATCCTACCCTGAAAATCCTCCATCCCAAAGTAAGCAAGCAGACCGAGATGCACATTTTCAAATTTGCTGAAAACTGGCAATGGGACTCTGGGACCCCACACTCATGTCCCAGTTGTAAAAGAGTCAGTGTGTGGAGATTGGGGGATGATCTTTCTTTGGAAGGAACCACAGAATGATTCCCACCAGGTCTACTCAACCCCCTGAGAGAAGCATATAGGACTGCTTAAAGAGATTGGACAGTGTCTGACTTGCAAATCTAAGATGGACATGCCCCATCTTATGGGACAGCTTGGACCAGATGCCCTTTCCTCATCAGCTTGTCCAAATCTTGAGTTTCCTTTAAGGCCATTACCTCCTACCCCTGTTATGAAGACTTCTTTAATTTTTCCCAGCCCTTAGAGATCTCCACTCTTTGAGTTCCTGCAGTATTTGGCACCTGATTATTAGATGTCCTACCCCTGGTTGGTTTTGAATCTTCTGGTCTGCTTTCAGCAGTTCTCATAATCTATGTGTGTGTTTAAAATTCTGTGTTCCTGAGATAAGCACATAACTGCTGTGGACAAAATCAGGTGAGGAGAACCAGTACTTTTTGGTTTCTGGTTCCCATTTGATGTCTTTTTTTTCCCCCCAAAAGCCACAACATGGTCGTAGGCACAGGCAAAGACTTCAAGCAGCTTCTGACCCTGGGAGCAGTTTGGATGGCATAAGGTGCTGTGTTGTCAGGGACAGCTTATGGGGAAAGTTGACCCGAGGAGACCTTTGACAGAATGTATTTGTTTTGCCAGATTAAGAGAATTGAGTGTTTATACAGCTTTTGGTTAAAATTCCATCTTTGTTGCAGAGAGATTATCGTCTGAGGAAACAAGTACTTAAGGGAGAAGAGGTAGGTGCGGGCAAGGAGAGAAGTATTTTAATTTTAGTTCCTTACATTTGTTCAAGGTCTCATTCAGTGCTTTGGATTTTAAGTCTGATTTTAAAAAACAAACAAAAAAACCCACAAACCCGGAAGCCTATCTGGAGTGTGCATTAGTGTGGCAGTGTTGCTATAGAAGTATTTCCACATTCCATGATGGAAGGATTAATTAGAGGACGTTGTTTCTTATTCTGCTCCTCTAATTGCTGCAGTGATTCAGAGGGAATGATTTTAAACCACTGCCCTTGAATCCTGTGGTATAGTGTCTTAGACACTAATGTACTCTTATGATTTAGGAAAATGTACATGTGTGTACAGCTGCCATTTGCCTTTGTGAGTTAATATTGCTCCTGAATGACCATGGGGAACCAGCTAGTTGTGCTCCTAGAATTTTGAGTGTAGTGGGCTCCCTTCCCACCCCCCTCACCCCCATTGCTGCATATCCCAGTGTTGAGAAAGATTCAAACACATCTGATGTTTGAAGGTGACGATCTATTGAACCCACTTGTATGATGTTTCTAGAGAAAGAGTCAATTACAGGTCTGGTATCACTAGTCTTTGAGAGAACACAGGAGAGGGAGGGGCGGAGGGAGAGAATCTTCAGTCTCCCGACTGAGTATGGAGCCCAGTGTCGGGCTCGATCTCACAACCAAGGGATCGTGAGCTGACCTGAAATCAGAGTTAGACGCCCAACTAACTGAGCCACGCAGCTGCCCCCAGTAACATATTTTGGATTCAGCAGGCAAATATTACTTAACTGATATTTCTGCTCACTGGGTCGATGTGCTTTATTCTTACAACTTATACGTATAAGAGTAAACACTTCGCACTCTTTTGTGCTATCCAGTTTAGGCTGGTGCACTACTAATACACCTTTACTGCGGCTCTTTTGAACTAAGTCGTCTTAAGTGACTTGTCCAAGGACTGCTATCAGTGTAGCCTAGATAGATGTCTCTTGTACTCAAGCTGTAGCCCAATCTGGGCTTTGGAAGTTTGGATTGGGAATTGGAGCTGTAAGATTACAGCTGTCCCAAGGAAGGCAAGTCCCTGATTTATTCAGGGAGAGAAGATGCTAGGGCCCACAGAACAACCCAGCATCATGTCAGCGGCAGCTTATTTCCCGTTTGTCATGACTTCCAGGTATTAGGTCCTTTTGTCAATACCAGGAAAACAGTGACCCATCGCTAACTTTAATTACCCCCTAGCTACAGTTCTTGTTTCTAAAATAACTATTCTGTGGGTTTCAGGGACCTCTTTATCACCTGGGAGTTGTACCCATGGACCACCCAGCTATCACACACCCAGACTCATGACTCCAGGAAAATCTTCATTTTACAGCTAATATCTGCCCCTAGGGATTTTTGGAATTAAGTGCTTTATTTACTTAATCTTCTTCAAATAAGAGTTTGTATGTTCTCAGTACCATACTTAAAAAAAAAAAAGCCACAGACAAGCACCCAAGAAAAAGTACAACACCCACAAAACCTCCCATGACCTCCAATAAAATTCATACCCACCATCGCCCAAGACATTGTGTTCTACAACTGAAGGAATGCTTTGGGTGGTTCCTCCTTAGTGGGATACACAATTTGTGGACTATGAAAGCCTTGGCTTCTCTTTTCTCCCTTTCCTGTTACATGGATTGGGCTTCTTTCCTTGGTTATTGGCACTTCACCCAAAGGTGGAAAGAACTCAACTCCAAGGATGATTGCTTTTCTCGGGGAGAACCCTCAGGAGCCAGTGGCAGTTTGGGAGTATCTGGTTACCATTAGTTCTACTTGGATTCATCAAAAGGTGGTTAGTTTGCTTTGTCATGAAAGAAGGGCTGTTCTATAAGCCAGCACAACTTTGACCATTGTATTATTCCCTGCCTCATCTACCTCACTTCAAGATTCTTGAACTTCAGCGTGCGAAAGATTCAACCAAGGAGATGCCTGGTCCCTGGTCCCTGAGGCTCCATTTCCATAGGATGTGGACTAAGATTTTGCATTTAGCAAACTGCCCCCCAGGTCCTTCTGATTCAGATTAACCTGGCGGCCAGTGGTGGGAAACACTGTCCTGGAGTTTGCGCGTCGCTGTTCGGGTACCAGCCCAGCCTGTGGTTACATACTTGGCCATTTACAAGGTGTAATTAAAGTGGATGGTTTCCAAGGTAACACGGTCACTCCCGCCCGGGCCCGGAGGATTGAAAGGGACCACCGTGAGGCTGCAGTGGTGGTGTGGCCTCCCACTTAAGGTCATCGAAGTGCTTTATGATTGACTGGGTTTTTGCACCTGCTCTGTGTAATGACAGCAGCAAGAATGAAAGCAAACAGCGTTAGAAGCCAGAAAGTCGCTGGACGACTTCTGGAGGCAGTGATGAGGACATGAGGAGGGATGAGTATAGCCACTCAGTTACTTGTATTTTTTCCTCCCTTTATTGCCTTAAATCAGTTTATTTCTTAAGGATTTTATTTATTTATTCATGAGAGATAGAGGCAGAGACACAGGCAGAGGGAGAAGCAGGCTCCATGCAGGGAGCCCTATGTGGGACTTGATCCCGGGTCTCCAGGATCATGCCCTGGGCTGAAGGTGGCACTAAACTGCTGAGCCACCGGGGCTGCCCCTTAAATCAGTTTAGTCCAGAACGAGGGTGGTGGAAGGGACAGGAGATGACCTTGAAAGGCCGGCTTCGGTAAACATTGGCCTGTGCTGTTGCTTAGTGCGCAAATGGATCGTGCTGTTAAAGGTCATCCGCTCCCACTTGGTCAGGTGAGGCTTGAAGTCACATTTATGGAGCGCTTACTGTGTGCTGGGACGTTGCATCTGGGTGTTCTTGCCCCTTGATCTAGATGCAAAGGTTCCGCACTCTGTCATTTTCCAGGGGTAATGGTGGAAGAGGATGACTTGTACCATGTGTTAGCCCGGGAGTCTGCTGTAGGGGGGTGGCAGGAAAGTCCTTCAACTACCCACCTGGTTCTGAATTCCATCATAAGCAGGCTTTCAACGGAGGGCAGGTTTCCTCACGTCTCTGAGGTTCCATTGCTACCCCTGGAACATGAGGGACTTAGCCTGAACCAGATAGCCCTAACTTCTGAAGGGTGACAACCCCTTGCTGAATCCAATGAAAACTAGGAACTATCTTTCCTGAAAGAAAAGTATACACACACACACACACACACATATATATTTAAATTACATTTGCATTCCAGGGGACCACAGACCTCCTAAATGAGGTGATCTCTTAAGATTTTTGCCAGCTCTGACTTGGAATTGCTGGCTCCCACAAGGACCTGCAGGGTGGGGGGAATAGAGCCTTTTTTATTGTTTAGAGTGGCTTCCTGCAGAATGAGGTATTTGAAGAGGGAGGTTTTGTTGTTCCTGGCATTTTTTACTAACTGCCCTGTGCGCGCATTTAGGGAGGAAAAAAAGAAACCTCACTGAGAAAAATAAATAGGGAATGAATGGCATCTGGAATATGAACTGTTTTCCTCATCATTCTTTACTATCGTGGCCCTTCGAAAGGAGGCGGATGGTATAAGTATGACATGAATGGCACATACAGGAATCGGTGTAGCACACAGATACTCTGGTTTGTACAGTGACCGTTAGCCTTGTTCTACTTTTAATGTTTGGAAAGTTGGAAAAGTTTAAAGTTTAGGTTAACTTGAAAATGTCAGAAGGTTCCCAGGGACTGTATCATGAGTGGAAATAACACGTTCTTTACCACTTCTCAGCTTGTTCAGTTCTGAACACCTTCCTAACTCAGTCCTAATGGCCCATGGCTGCAAAGTTGTAATCTCACCGGGAGGGATTGATTATCTGTTGGGTTTATTTGGAAACTTAAATATTTAATTTCTCTCTCTCTCTCTTTTTTTTTTTTTTCATTCTGTGCTTAGGTGTTGAAAAAATTTCTAGAGCTTTGGAAAGCTGAATGGACTAAACATGAAGAGCTTGAAAGCCAAGTTCAGGAAGAGCGACGTAAGTCCTCGGTGACTCACCATCTGTCTACTCCACTCTCCTTCTCCCGGGGCTGCAGGACAGCCCTCGCTTCCACCTTGATAAGGCCCTGGGTTTATCACCAGGACCAGAAACACTCAGGGCCTCAGCTCGGGCTTTTGTGAATGGCATGTTCTAGGTTCCTTGCTGTTTGTGTGAATAGCTTTTGAAAATGACCTCCTTATTCCCGGGGTCTGTGCCTCGCAGAGAAACAGTCAAATTGCACAGCTTCGAGAAGAGAATCAGTAAAAACGTCAGCCTTTCTAAAGTCCCCCAAATCTGATTCAGAATGTCATTTTTGGAGGAAGCTCGTCTCATGAGAGTAGTTAGGGAGTTACGTATTAGCTTGGTTCATCTTTGGCTTTTGGAAACTGTTTTTAACTCTGTTAAAGCTTTTGTGGTGAAAACAGTATCTATTGCTGCCTGCACCTTGACTCCCCCTGAATTCCTGGGGTTCTTACTCACTTGTTATCCATCGTACAAGATTTTGGATTGGAGGAACCAGTTATGATGTCAGGGTTCTGAAACAAAGTCTCCCAGAGGAGAAACTGGAGAAAAATAGCATAACAGGATTATACACATGGTATCTAAACACAAGGTCACCTCCTAAACCCTGCTAGGATTCCACTCTTGTACTCGCTGCACTCCAGATGCTTTGGGCAGAATTGTTGAATGGGAGAAATTCATGGAAGGGTATTAGAAGCCCAGAAATTTCACCCTCATACAGGGCTTGCTTGGCTGCCATTTAACATGAGGCAATTAAAGGTGAACCCGGGTTTTATTGTTTTGCCATGAATTATATGACAGGTTGGCACAACCACGTTTTTTAAAATAAATGGAGGCTGCGTCTTTTATGGCTCATGTGTGGTATGCACACACCTCCTTTTGGCTGGAGCTTATCTCTTGAGGCTGCATCATGACGTGTAACTTACTGCCCTGATAAGGCCCAGACTAGTCGTGATGCTTGTGCGATGGTTGCAAGTTTTTGTCTCGCTTAGACATGAGAGCTACAGAGGGATTTTAGGAAAAAGTTGAGTTTCACCTTTTCATTCTTGAGGTAAGTTAAGTGGAACTCAGAGAATGTGAAGTGACTTGGCCAGAGGCACCCAGTTTGCCTTTGGCCACTGAGAGCCTTGGTTGTCTGACTTCCTTAGCCCCTTGCCCCTCTTCCTCCCCTGAGGAGCCCCCTTCTGCTGCCTCCTCTGCTGGCCCTGTGGTACCACAGCCAGCAGATCTCATGTGGCTATGAGCAAAGAACGAAAAGTTGAGTAGATGGGGAACGGATGTGGGTTTGTATGTCGTGTGACCAGGGTAACAAATGCCTTTTCCATTCTGAGGGAATTTGGGTAGCTTCCATTTATACAAGCTGAGATTATTTTAGCAAAATTGAATCAGTCTAGAGTTCCATGATATCTGAACAGGGGCAGGGGGAAATGAGAGAGACACAAACTTTTGGCTTAAAAATTAAAAACTGGCCGCAGTAGGGAGAGTGTTGCTGGAATCTAGGTTTTAAATTAAAAAAAGGGGGGGGGGGACTATTTCCATGATTAAAAAACCTTGATAATACTATTAAAAGCTTCTGGGATTTGGCAGCAGGAAGACTGTGCATTTGGAAGTTAGTGCTAAGAGAAGAAATGTTGCTAGAGGGATAGCTTGGGCGCATGGAGCAAAGGGAATTGTTATAATGGGGCCAGACTGTATCAAATAGCTTGTAATATTTGATCAAAATACCAGATTTTGGGTCTGTTTGTCAGTTTGTCATCAGCCATGTGCTGATAACTAACCATGGGGCAGTAGTTATTCTACATCAGGTTCTGTGCAAAGCCCACTGGGTGACATTCGTGGACTCTTGCCATAAACCTTGTGTTGTAGATATTACCGTTAGACTCATTTAACAGATGGAGAAACTGAGACCGAGGGAAGTATGGTAACTTGTCTGGATCCTCAGAGCTCTACTTTGTGCAATCCGTTTTCCTGTTGTGGCAGCCCAATTCCAGAGCATAGGTTTCCAAAAACGAGATTTTGGATGCAGATTTGACTTTGGAAACCATATAATCCAGGTGGTAGCTTGAAAAAGTGACTTTGGATCTAGGTTGGTGGCCTTGTGCAATTCTCTTACCTTCCTGACTGTCTGGCTCCTCACCTGAAAAGTGGAGGAAATAATGTTAGCCTTACAAAGTTGTAGAGGCTAAGTGTGCTGATGGGTGTAAAATACACATCTTAGGGCCTGGCATTCAGGAGATGCTTGGTAAATATTTCTTCCTTTCTCTTAATCAGAAACCCATGATAAAAGCTAGGATTTGAAAAGTGTCTGTGGTCAGGAGAGCAGAATAAGCTGGTACCAGTTGCTGCCTCTGAGGAAGGAAACTGGGGTGGGTGGAGAGGGTAGGCTTCCTTTTCAATGTGTGTCTTTTGGTTTGAATTTTTTGGTGTATGTACGTGTACGTACACGTCACTTAGTACGTGCGAAACAAATTTTAAACTCTTTATATTTAGTTACGTGAGCCAAACTGGAATCTTCTTTACCTGAAGTGAGTGGTCTCAAATAATGATCCTAAACCACCCGCCATCAAATTTTCCTGCTTCTCTTTGTGTGAGGCTGAAGGGAGAAGAGGGAAGAAAAGGTTCTTTGTATTTCTGGGAGGTAGGAAAGAAGAGGGACAGCAGATCATGTTCGTGCTTTCATAAAGAGGAGGCAGGTGACCTGCTGGTATGATCACATTTCAACCAGCCTGTTCCTGGGAGGTCTGCAGCCAGATCAGTTTGAGGCCATTGAGTGCAAAACCCAGCAGTGAAAAAGGACAAGAGTGGCCCCAAGGAGGCCCCCGTGGGTAGCCTTAAGGTCACTGTGCTACTCCAGGACCATCATGCGGATAGAGATCTAATCTGAGTGTCCTTCCTGGACCACTTGACCCAGATGACTACCAAGTCCAGGGCAGATTTATGTGAGTATAACAGGGGGACGAGCCCAGTTCTGTGGGCTGTGGTTAGATACTATCCTTGTCTAGTTGCTTGAATCCCCATCCATTGTCCAGTTCCTTGAATCCCCATCCATACTTGGGAGCCTGCAATAACCCACAAAGGCTGGGGAGAATTATGGGGCTAAACACTTGCCCTTCAGTGGATGACATTTTTCAGTTCACATGTATAACTTTATTTGGGGCATCCTTAAACTTGGGTTAGCTACCAGAGAGCATATAGGAGAAATGTGAGGTGTAGTTCTTGTCTAACAAGCTCACAAACCAAGACGGGAGGAGAAAAACTGGGCACAGGAAATAACCAAGGCAAAACACAAATCATGTATAATATAGAGGGTAAAGGGGGCCTTCCACAATGATGGTACAAACAGTTGTTAAATTGCAGGGTTTAGATGATAAATGATGCTGATTTTCAGAGGGGTTGAGTCACTGGAAATGGGAGACATTGGGGGAACTTTCCATAGGTGGTGCTTCTTCCCAGGCCTTGAGGATTTGGATCCCTGGTTGGGAAAGCAGGAGAGGATGATGCTGGGGAGCCAGCCATGTAGCACAGCGGGGAGTCTCAGTTTCAGAAACTTGCCCTTGACATGCAAAATGGTAATACTTAAGAGCCCAGGAGAGAGCCCATGGATGGCATGGCTGAGTCTTTTAATAAAAACACTATAAATTTTCATCCTGGTTTTAAAAATGGATATACTTGACTTTTATGCTTATAAAATGAGGACAGAGTTTTAAATCCTCAGTATTTATATCTTTTATGACCATAGTTTGAAAGTGGCTTCTCTACCTCTTTAAATATTTGCGGCAACCAGTACATGGTTCCAAATGGAAAAATGAGCTGTCATCATGAGAAATGAGGCCAAGAAGGTTGGGATTTCCCTTTGTTAATAAAACGCTCAGACTTCTGGAATTTCTTTGTAAATGCCAATTTTTAGTGCCTTGAGTGGAATGGGTGGAGGCTGAGGGATGGGAAATGGGGTTGAAAGATCTTTGTAACAAATCTTGAGAAATGCCTCTCAAACATGATTGAGGCCTTCAGAGTTTACATTGTGGGTGTGTGTTTAATTTTATGAAAGATTTGTTCCCAATTATGTTTTTCATTGTACTAGGGAAGCAGCGGACGTTCCATTAAAAAAAAAAAAATCAAGGCAGCCAGTTCAAAATGGCTGGCTCCATGAAATATTCAATTGGTGGTATTTTTTTAGGTAGCGGCTACTAAGGATTGTAGCTTTCAGCCAAAGAAATGTACACACCCTGTGAATCTTGAGGAACCAGACACATCCTGCTCAGACAGGAGTTTGAATTTGTTGCCCGTTGAGAGAACTACTCTTGGGAAGGTCGATAATCCACATCTCTGCCAAGGTATTTTTTTTCCAAGGAGTTTTTGGTCATTTATAATAAGGTTTTTACAGATGCCCAAATCTCCTTCCCCCCTGCCCCCCAACACACACACACAGGGAATATTTAAAATCCAAGTCTCTCTGTTGACAGAAGAATCTTGGCCAAATCTATTGTAAAGCTAAGCCTCTTTTTTTTTAGTACACATAATGTCAAAGTACATCAGAGATGACCTTTTTGGGTGGAGGTATGAGACTCTTGTAAACTTCTGGAGAGAAATTCGGTCAGGTTTGTGTCCTCCTCTATATTTTCCAGGTCTTGTCAGCCCTCCTGAATGGGGAATTTGCCCACTGTCTGATTTCTCCTTGTATTAGTTTCCTGGGGTGGCCATGAACACAGATCCAGTGGCTTGAACAAGTGAAATGTATAGCCTCTCACTTCTGGAGGTTACAAGTTTGAGCTCAAGGTGTCTGCAGGGCTGGTTCCTGAGAGGGCTGTGAAGGGGCACAGCCCTCCAGGCTTCTCCTGGCTTCTCCTGGTTTTCTGGCACTCACTGGCTGATAGATGCATCGCCTGATCTCCGCCTTCTCCTTCACCTGGCATTCTCTCTGTATGTATGTCTGTGTCCAAATTTCCTCTTTTTTATAAGGACACGATTCTGTTGGA